TCAGAGACTGTGGATTTAATTCCCTGTCAAATGCATGTAGCCTGGATACAGTGATTGAGAGACATAAGGGACTGTGAGGGGTGGGGCTGGAAGGAGCGGGGGTTTTTTTGGTGTTATAGTAACTCCAAAGCTGGTCTGGAAACCCATACTTATTCTCCTCTGGTGGATATTAATAAGGACTTTTGCCTTCGGTTCATTCTGAGAAATGCCCCTGAGGAATTTATTAAAAATATTTGACATAGTTTGCAAAAAATCTTGTAACTCCCCTGAGCAGCACAGAAGGAATGTAAGATGGAAAATAACCTTGTAGGTGCAAAAAGCAGAGGGTTTATAGTGGGCATGGGGCCACACTCCCGTCTATAACTATTCCCACTTCCTTCAAAGGAAAGAACAGTGGAAACCCACCTCTTTGCTATCAGATACACTTGACAAGTTCACTGGCACAATTCCTCATACTGTTGGAACAGCCACCTACTTCATCTATACTGCTAATGCACTGGGCCAAGCCAGCCCTACACCAGCTCTACAGCGCAAAGCAGATGCTATTGCATCACAAAGTGTAAGGCTTACCGATTCCAGAGGCAACCTATGCAAAAAAGCTCATTTAAGTGATCTGTAAAGAAAGTCTCCAAACCTGAACTCCCTATCAAAGCTACCTGCAGAGCCAGAGGAAAGGAATTCTGCTTTCGCTTTCCCCTGCCTTCATCTCTCCCACTTACTAAAGCTCCTTAACTAAATAATTCCAGATTTTTTTTAAACCTGGATCTGCTTGGTGCCTAATGATACCGAAAAGCCGGTCGAAGAAACTCTCTAAGACTCGTTTTGGAGTTTTAGAAAGCAGGCATTCTTTATTGCAGCGCTGGATGCACGGGGGATAGTTGCACCTAGCGTGCATGCCACAGCTTTAGCACAAACAGGTTATATAGAATAACTAATTGCATATTAATCAGATTAGTATACATATACATAAAAATGATTATAACTGATTATTATCGTACTGCCTACATCCAATCATGCGCAATGAAGGATCCATTTGAGTTGAAGGGCTGCTTTTGCAACCACCGACCCATTTGAAGTTCTTGTTGGCTGTCCTTGAAGTCTTTATTCTTGTCCCTTGTTCTTTGATCTTGAAGCTTAATGCAGTTTCAATCACATGTGGTCAGTTTCAACATTGTTCTTATCTAGCGTACAGGAACATCTAGTCATAAGAGCAAAGAACTGCAAAACTTACGAGCAACTACCTCTACTAGTTAATTGCTTGGCTATACTTTTGTCTATTTTTTCAATCATAGTGTTAGTATAAGATTTCTAATAATTGTTTACCAAATCTCACTTTTACAGTCACCTAGCAGCAAACGTTTCCATGGCTGGCACAAAATATTACAACCATCAAAATATTTAGACACACCATACAGAATGCATGGAATTAAGACTGCCTGAGCTTGAATGAGAAATTAGAAACACATCCAAGAACACTGAAGATGCAGAACAAAATGCTGTCATTCTCTGATCTACCCAAGATCAGATGAAGACAACACGATCTGTTCCTTATCTGCACGATGAAGAGTCATAACACTAGATTACACTAAAGCATGCTTAGTGGGATGTCAGGAACACACAGAAATAAGAGCATCGGAAAAAACGCGGCCAGGAAGTATCTTGGCAAAGACCTAGGATGAACCGTTCTTGCCAAGCATGCAAGTGAGGGCAGCTGCAGACACTGTACATTGCTTTGGGCACTTTTAGAAGGATAGATTCATTTCTCAAGGTGCCTGCCCAGGCAGACCCCAAGACCATCACCAAACATGGATTTACTAAAGAACAGCTTAAATCACGCTCACTTCGACTTATCTCACTGCATTCCCACTCCAAATCCACTGAAACGAACGTCCTGACGACTTCGGTGGACTCTGGGTCAGGTTAAACACCCGGTGAAAACTACCAGTGCACACGTGGGTTAACTTGGATGCCTTACAAAGCCGGAGCCCGGCGTGCTGCCTGTCGGCTGGCAAGTAAAGTCTAGCCCCCCTGCCTCCCCCACACGGCAGCCACACCTCACAGGCACCGAAAGGGCCCTCTCTGAGCGGCCGGGGACGCTGCCGCACACCCGCCGGCCAGACACTCCCAGGAGGCTCCTGAGAGCCTCCCCACCGCTGAGGCAGCCCTCAGCCTCTCGGCCCAACACCGCGCCGACCGCGTTCCGCCGGCGGCAGCCCTCAGGCCCACCCGCGACCGCCGCCATCTTACTGCGGGGAGCGGCCCCGCCCCGCGCATGCGCACTCGGCCCCGCCTCTGGCAGGCGGCCGTGGACGTCACTCGCGGGGCGTGACGCCGATGCCGTACGCATGCGCACTGCGCGATAACGGCGGTTTCGACGTCTTCCCAGTCTGCCCCCCCCGGTCGTGGCGGGTTACGGGGGCCGGCTAGGGACAATCCAGTCCCGTTCCGCGTTGCCGTACGGGTGCCAAGTGGGGACATATGTCTCCAATGTCGAGCGGCCCGGGGCTGGTTGCCATAGCAGCGGGCCCCCCTCGCCGGGCCCTGGCCCGGGGACCCGCCGCGCCCGGACCGCGGTCCCCTGGTGTCCCAGTCGCCTTCCCGAAGCGTCGGCGACAGGCGTGGGCAGGAGCGGCTCCCGGCCGCGGGAGCAGCCTCGGGGTGGGGGGGCGGACATCCCCGCGACTGGGGCTCACAGGAGTCTGGGCCTCCACGTTACAATGGGCTGTGAGAGGCCCCTCAGCGCCAGCGCTGATTCGGGATCCTCCCGCCCGTGTTTGCAGCCCCAGAGCTTGTCAAAGGGGCGAAACGTTTCCCCAGTGGCTCTCACGGTGTAACCCCCCTGCCGCGCTACCGGCGGTGCGTTCATACGGCCACTTTTGTACCCTACAGCCCTGCATGAGGCTGAGGAAAAGCGGCCAGTGTAACTTAATGACAGTACCCAGAAGGGGAGATCCTGCCGTAGCAACCGGCGAGATTTCCTGTATAAATATTGATAAGCCCAGAGGGAAAAGGAAATTCGAAGCTGGCCAAGCCAAGACAGGACGTACCCCATGGCTGCAGGTCCCAGCGGCCTCGAAGGCGGCCTCCGAACGCCACCTCCCCGCTGCCGTCCACAGACGCACACAGACGTGTCCAGTGGGCTCCTCTTTATTACAGTCTTGCAACTGCACGCAGAGGAAATGTTCCATTTAAAACCCATGGGTTCTACCGTCTAGATATCCCTTTGTTTCATGTCTTGGGCAGAGGCCTTTTTACTTAGCTTCGTTTCTTTCTTAAATTTGGGCCTAGTAAATAACACTGTCCTGTCTTCAACAGCATCTTAACATTTTGGTGACACTGCCTGGAGTTGGTATGGGCAGGACAGGTTTCATGCCAGCTGCTCTGCCTTATTCAGCATTATCATTGCTGGCATAATGTGAAGCTGAGGAGTTTGAGGATTTTTTTTTTTTTCCCAGAAATGTTCCTATTCAGAGAAGGCCCAAATGTAAAAGAAGAAATATAAATATATTTTGGAAATAAACTGTAAAGTCTACAAGACAAAGACTAAAAATCAACTAAACCTTAATTTGCCTTTGCTTGCTTTCACAAAGAGCTTTGGAAAAGATCCTGCTTTCAGTTTTGAACTAGGGAGAAGTCCCATATACAAATTTTCTACATTTCTTCCTTTATACAGCTTGACAAAGGAAATTGTGGCCTGGGGACATGGCAGGCTAGCACGATGTTTCACATCATAAGACTCCTTTTCCCACTTAATTCCTTCATGTTGAATAAAAAGAGGTAAATTTCAGACATTAAATTTAGATTAAGTCATGACTGGTAGTAAAACCAGCTTGATCTCATAATAAATATGCCTTCACCTAGGTGAAAACATTTAGAAGATTAAATGATTCTTAAAAGTCAAACAGCACGGAGTTATACAATAAACTGTCATGGGAAACAGTGACCAGATAATGTGAGATTTGGTTTCCCAGACTCAAAAGAATTACACAAAATAAAGCAAACCTAATCTTGTAAAAGATCATTCCCTAAAACTGGGTCAGAAAATGTTGCCTCCCTCTGTCAGCAGGTATTAAAACTGAGAAAATCCTTCCTGATAATAAAGTATTTAACAGGATTTTGTAGGAGAGATAAGTACACCAGAAGACATTCAGTTAAAATTAGGAATGCTCATTGATTTACTTTATCCAAACCACCAAGGGTTGGTCAAGACTGTTCAAAATACTTCATAAATTCACAGAGATTTCCTAAGTATGTAGTTTCTCACATCATTTTTATATTAGGAGAACAGGATCTGAGTTGGACACAATCATCCTTGTAAAAAAGCCAGCCACCTTTCTGTACTACTTTTACCAGTGCCAAGAGGCGAAGAGATGTTTGTGTTTCCAGGTTGAAGTTAGGTGCTGTTTTCTCAGGCATGAAGATGAGCTCAACGAGGTCAGCCAGAACCGACTTGGATTTGTTTCAAAAAGCCAGCATGAAGGAGGATGAAGTGTTCCTTCCAAGGAGATGAGAATGGCAACTCACCTCTAATCGGAGCACTAATGACTCGCCTTTGGCTATTCATTTTCTAACCATAGGATCGGAAGCCTCTCTGCCAAGAGAGGTTGTGCAGTCTCCATCTTTGGAGGTTTTCAAGAGCCAACAGGATAAAGCCCTGAGTAACCTGGCTTGGTCGCATAGCTGATGCTACTTTGAGCAGGAGGTTGGACTACAGACCTCCTTAGGTCCCTTCCAACCTGAGTTATTCCATGATTCTATTATTTTCATCCATTTTATATCTATCATCTTTGGCTTCCTTCAGATATCAAACTGATAAAGACTAGGTTTTAAAGTTTGTTTTTATAAAGCATGGCCAGAAAAAAATTGCGAGTTTAACTGCTTTGTATGACTGAGACATGTGACCCAGACAGAAAGAGGTAAAAATCTCTGTATGAGATGAAAATATCATGATAGCTCTTCAAGGAAAAACAATAAAAAGGGTGAGAAATGACAAGTCTTTTGAAATACATATCACAGGCCTATATGCATTTGCAAAACAAACTGGAACTGCAAAATAACTACCAAAACAGGTTTATAGTACTACAGCCTCCAGTGTCCTGCATAATAAGGGCCAAGATGACTTTTGGGCATAGTCTCCACTGGTTGCAAGGTTATATATCATACAGTCTAAGCTGCTCCTTCATGTCTCCTTCAGACATCTCTCCAAATGTGTCACTTTTTTCCTTCATGAGCCTGAAGATGGCAGCCAGCTGCTCTCTCTGAACCCTGTCAAAAAAAAAGGACAAGTAGGAATAGCCAGTCCCCAGAAGGCACTTTGAGCAAGAACACCATGGTCAAATGAAACACAAAGCCAAAAGCAGGTCATTTTACAAGCCTTACTGGCTGCAGGAAATCTGCCCATGGGAGATAAGAAAGAGATAGCCTCTGGTTCTCCTTCCTGCACCTTCCCATCTATCCAATCATCCTGCACATCTCTCTGCAGTTCTTTAAATATGGAGTTAAAACAGACTGCTGTAACACTACCTTTGGAGTTCCTTAGGGCTTATCTATACTCAAAGTTTCAAGATAACTCGACATGTGGAATTTCATAAGACCAACATGTCCCAATTTAGCAGACTCCATAATGAAACTGGATTAAGCATCATCAGCACAGTGTCCTTTCATTCTGTAATAAGAGTATGTAGATACAGAGTAATTCAGGAATAGCTATTAAATTTTAAATGCGTACCCTACCTGAAAACTAGAGACCAGACTACCTTCCAGTGTGGACATGACTTTAATCAGCCACTGGAAGATAAGATCACAGACAGAAATTTGCTTTGATTCGAGAGTTCATCTGCCAGTGTCAAATGGTGACATGGACTCATGTAGCCAGTCCAGCAACAAGATGATCCCTGTGTGGGCAGAGGCTGACCAGTGGACCATCTAGCTCAGATTTCCATCCCTAGAAAGTCCTGTAGTAGATGATTAACTCCCTTCTCCCCATAAAAGAACATATCCTGATTTTCCGTAACCTGAAGCAGTTAACCATTGTTGTATGTCCTGCAGCACAAAGATTTGTATCTGTCACAGGGCTTTATTTGAGGAAACTTTGTAGGAGGGCTTATATTGGTTATACATCTACTGATCATCACTCAGGGACACAGAAAGGTGGGCAGCACAGGAGTGTCACTTTTTCGCAGGTAGCTCACGAACTGATGCAACAGTCTACAAATCCTCTTTTAGGGCAAAATGAATGTGCCCCTTGGCTCCAGTCAGAGCTGGCTGTGGGCTGGTACGTTCTCATTGCTGGACTCTACGTGATTGGGGTCAGACTGCAATATTGCCTAGCACACCTCATATCTGAATCTCCTGTGTGAGATTAAAAGAACCAATGAGGTTGTGGTGCTTTATGGCTGTAACAAGGGAGAAGCAGTTTCTAATACTTCAAGGCTCATTTTGCCCTTACATGACTGTGGGGCTGAAATTCAGTGATAACTTAGCAGCTCAGAGCACAGATCTGCCGCAATCCCAGCTCCTCCTGCTTGTTTAGCTTCTTTAGACCTCCCGTGGGCTAGAAAGACAGACTCTGGCTTTTACTTCCACATGGTCACCCTGTCAAGAGTCCTTTGTCCCCATCACAGCCAGCTTTCCACATAGGACTTTAATACACTGTAATTAATCCATTTAAATGCAGGCCATTATTTAACCTGGAGTAGTCTTCCTGCAAGTCCTGTGTGGACAAGCTATTAGTTGTTCCACTAACAGGAGGGATAGAAATACCTATTGACAGGCAAAATGAGGACACAATCTTTGCTTGAAAGAAGAGAGGACAGCATCAACACATCAGAAGCAACCACACCACGAACAAGATCAATGGAATGAGACAGTCAGGAATGAGCAGAGGAGCCTTCACGTGCTGAGCTTCTGCAGAGTGGGGCTCTGCATTTTCCCCTCTCCTGGACTAAGCCCCAGCAGAAGCAGGAACAGCAGGCTGTCCTCCCAGCACCATTGCAGCAGGCAGGGCAGGAAAAAAACAGATCCTGCCAAAAGAAAGCTCATTTGCCAATTCTTTTCTATTGCAATTAAAATACAATTGTCCTAAGGCCAAACATATTCTGATAATGATGTGGGATCTTCTGGTTACGAAACCTCTGGCCGTAGGCTGTCAAGCGCCTGGATTTGTCTGTCTCTTCTGTAATTTTTTGTGCTTACATGAATAGCATCCAACTGCCCTTTCCAGACAAGAGGAAGGGAAGCATGGTCATTAGTGATCAATATTTTATTTTAGATCACTGCTGGGCACCAGAGGGCATGTCTCCAGTCTGATGTGGAGAAATTCAATACACAGCTTTGCCTCACGTGTCTGAAATGCATGCCAGCTGGGAGTGCTCCACACAGGTCTGCATCCCTCGCTTGTTATTTCACAGACATTAACACTGCTGAAACCTCCCCAAAGGCCCATATCCTTGTCTCTAAACCTCCAAAATCAAGATCACAGAAAATATTCACTCAATTTTTTTAAGCACAACATCAATGCATTTTGGCTCTCCCCTCAACTTTAAATATCATGACTGTGTGTCTGAAAAACAGAAATAAAAAAGAGCTGTTACTTCTCTGTGCTACATCATCTACAACAAAGGGAGAGCAAAACAAAGGTAAAGAGAGAAAAGAGCCTGGGAAGGAAGAGTAAGGCATCAAAAACATGAAAGTGGTTTCAAAAAGGAGCTTCTCCTATCAAAGGTGACCTTGCAAATCAACTTTGTAGTGCTCCAGCTTGGAGTTTGGTTTTTTTTTTTTGATTATTTTGAATCAAACCTATCCCATTCACAAGTAAAATCATTCTCTCTTCCCACAAGTGCTGTCCTCAAAACTACTTGGATTTAGGATGTCAAACAGGATTTTACTTATTCCTGACAAAATAGATGAATTAAGGATTTTCAAAGCAGTCTAATTCTTCTTGATAGGCAATTGAATTTGCATACTTAACTCCCTCAGGCTCTTTTTAGACATTTCAGTCCAAGACTTCTACAATTAATGGAGGTTTGGGGCAGTGAGCCATAGGTATGTTAAAGGTGATCTCCATTTCAGGAACTGCTAGGTACCCATGTTCACACCAGCTGAAATCCTGGGCAGAGCTCTGCCTTGGGAACGTTGCTAATTGTTCTGCAGCCAAACAAGACCAGGATCCTGCTGCAACGCTGCATTGCTCCAGCAGAAATAAGGGAAAATCCCTGACGTTCACCACTGGTCTGACTCTATTGTTAAAGAAGCCAGTGGAATCATTTATGGGGTAAAAGGCATAGGAGGGCAGAATGTACCTCTAACCTAAAATCCAGATTTTCAACACAAATCTCTTGAGAAAGAAGTTACAAGCTGCTAGAGGCAGGGAGAACAAGCACAAACCAAATAAACTATTCAAAGGTTTATTGGACCAAACAAAGGCAATTTTTACAGATTCAAGCCACTAGAATTACAGTCCTTTGTATAAGAGCCACCATCAGATACAAAACAAACAAACAAAACAAACAAAAGTAAAAAATACCCAGACAGCCATTTGAGTTGAAGAAATCGTTTGACTCGCTGCCACTAGCAAAAATCTGGACTCAGCTATAGACTTTGCTCGATGTACATATTGCCATGTAACTTAAACACAATGTATATAAGGCATTCTTTGCATAGTTGGGTGCTCGGGACACAGAGTCAGCCAGCCAGCACCAAGGGGACACAGCAGCTGTACCAGCGGGATGTTGAAGCAGAGGATCCAGATGTGCCTAAATTCATATGCAAACCACTGAACACGCTTGCAGTTGTCGGCTGGGAAGGGGCAGCCCAGCCTCTTCTAAAGCTGAAGCCTCCTGCTGTTCTTTAAATGAGCCCTTTTATTAAGAGTTTGCCAACCCCAGGCGCTGGAAAGGACAACTGTGTACAAGGTTTCAAGTATTGTCTGCATAGGAATTAAAAAGGGGGGAAAAAAAAAAAAAGCAGCCTGTTGGGTTTCCGATATGTTTGCAGCGTTAGCCAAGAGGCAGTTGTCCGGCAGTGAAAGAGAAACTTTGAAGGACACATCCCCACCTAGCCTGATATTTCTACAACATTGCTAGAGGACTGGGACCCTCTTCTCACTCTTGCAAACCAGCTGGGTTTGATTTGAAACCTCCTATGTCTGAAGCAGGTATATGTGCCCAGCCAAATTCATCTTCTATATGTGACAGAGCTGAGGAGCAATGCTGAGCTCTGGCTCCAGTGGACAAGCCACAGGGCTAGCAAGAGAAGAGGACACTGGAATAGCAAGCGGGCAGAGGAATGGGGACAGTGTCTCTTCCAGGACTCCCACTATCTCATCCTGAGCCAGAGGGAACCCCTGATGCCGTAGCTACCTCCTTGGGTCTCTCCTCTTGGGAACTGGAGTAGGGAAAAGTGAGAATCCAGATATTAACAGCAGCCAAAGTGTGGTCTCCTAAACCTCCACCACAAGCAGAACAGCTAAACTATCAATCTTCATCACTTCTAGAGTCTTCTGTCTACCTACAGAATCAGCTCTCTGCTAAAATAACTACAGAAGCAAGATTTGAGTCAGTCCAGCTACCATCTGCCATCCCTCACTTGGACCCCACTTTATCCCTCCAGCCCTCAGAATAAAGCAGTGTTATACAACACTTGAAATCATAGGCAGTTCCCACCCTCCAGCAATAAAGAGGAGTTTGGCCCCAGGAAGCAACATAGTCTGGTCTAAGGTCCAGGCTGGTCTGGGAGAAGAGCTATGGTTCGCTCACCCCAATAAAGGAACAACACAGATTTCATGTCAGGCCTAATACATGGTAATGAACACAACTAATAGACTCGCTGCATATTTAGTGTCCAATTTGGGTTCTGTTTGGGGGAGAGGGAGGAAGGTTCATCCCAGCCCCCCAAACACAACTCAAGTCACTGCTTGCGCCCAGCCCCAGTCCATGGAGCCACACAACAGGATCTCCTCAAACTTGACACCACAGGAGTTTTTGAAGAACTCAACTTCAGACCAAGAGGGGATCCCAAGTTTTGAGGGTTTATGGATTTCTCTTATGGGTGTGTTTGGTTGGTTTTGGTATTTCTCTCAAGCCTTTAAAGATGCCAAGGGATGCCTTTAGGAGGAGGCTAGGGACAACTTCATATAGTCTTCAGTTCTGCAAAGAGAAACAGGGAGAGAAGAGAAATCATTTCAGTCATTTCACCCCTCAGGTTGGTTCATTATCATTCACATAAATGAGCAGGGGGAAAACTCAGTACGTGTGTGGGGGGAAGGC